TCTAACCGTGGGAAACGCTTGTCCGCGATGAGTTCTTGCTCAGTGGAGGACATGCATGCTTGGGCCCACTGGTAAACCTCATCTCCGGGGGTCTTCTGGAGTCGACCGGTGGCCATCAAAACTTGGTTGACGAAGCCTCTAGCCTGTCCAGCGTTCTCCGGAGGGGATGGCAACACGAGATCCTTGAGGTCCTTGACGCGAACAACGGATTCCTCATGTGTGGCGTGATCTATGGCGGTCATGCCTACACTGGGATCGGCAGCTTGAGACGGGTCTGCATTGGGGAACTGGCCAGGGCCTCCCCCACCTCCCCCACCACCATTCATGGTGAGGTATGGGCAATCCGTGTCTTCATGGCTGCCGCCGCAAACTCGACATTGTGGGGTATCATCATCTCCATCAGAGTCTGATGATGTGTCGGAGCTTGCTGCCGATGGCGCTTGTGGGGATGACGAGTATAACCCTCCCAACATTGTGATTGGTACTGGCGGAACATGAGTGCCATTGCCAGCTTTCGGCGGAGGCGGCGCCCCAGAAAGGGGCATGGGAGGCACTGGAGGTGGTGCGGCCGGAGGCGGAGGTGGCGGAGCCACTTGATTAGCAACCAATTGGGAAAGCTGCTGAACCATTTCCGCTAAAGCCGTCACTTGCACTCTCACATCGGCTTGATCCCTTGGACCGTCTCTGCCCAACCCGCTAGTCCTTGACGCGCCGGGGGCTGCGTCTCCAACAGAGGACGCTGCTCCTAGCACTGCCGAATGGCCTACGAGATGTTGACTTGTTGTACCCCCACCAGGGTGCCTTGAATCAGCTGGGGCATCGTGACCAAGTCCTGAACTTTGAACAGAACCACACGGAGGGTCGGGGATAGTACTTGTAAAAGCATTCCCTTGCGACGATGCGGCAACACCGGAGGCATCTTGTGAACCTGAAACCTGAGGTGCTCCAACCGGCTGATGGGTTCCTGGGGGAACTGTGCCTTGACTTGGCTTTAGCCGCGTTTGTTTCCGTAGCTGTTTCGGCTATTGATGCGGCTTTTGGCGGGGACTCTTGCATCGGAACAGGGGTCGCACGAGCTTGTTGGGTGAGCTGCGCAACAACACGTTCGAGATCACCAAGTCGTTGATGCATCACAGAATTTTCCTGGGACAATCCACGAATGGTATGCTCTTGACTGGCAATGGTTTGCTCCCTTTGTAGGATTGCCTGTTGAGCCTCTTGAACAATGCGTTGAACCTCTTGCTGAGCGTCCTGTTGAGTGGCATTAACAACCTGTCGTGCGTTCTCGACATGGCCTAAGGCTTCCTGTCGTGTCTGCTCAATGAGTTGCCTAGCCTGAGCCTCACTTTGTTGCGCTGTTTGTACAGCCTGCTGTGCTTGTGAAGCTAGCTGAGCGGCCTGAACCCTAACGTCTGAAACTTCTCTTACAGCCCTTTCCCTGATCCATCCGGCCTCTTGTCTCGCCTGATCGGCGGCCTGCTGTTGGTGCAAGGCGTGATTGGCTGCCTGAGCAGCGAGGTCGGATGCTCGATGAGCTTGCTGCACCGCAGCTCCAGCTATAAATGCCGCAGCGGGTACGTTAGTCATCGGGTCAGGTAATTGCGATCCCTGTGAAGGAAACTGAATGGCTGGGGAAGCTTCGGATGATGTCGGTTCTGACACGATCGGACCACTCGGGGGTGATGATGGTCGTGTTTGGGCTGCTCGTTGAGGTGTGGATGTGCGAACTGTGGACATAACTGCAGGAACCATGGCTAGGTCAGGGTCATCCGGTTCAGAATCCCTATTTGGGGTTGACCTTGAACGGGGTTCTGATGGCGGTGATTGAAGCCATGACACAGCAATGCAACTTTTGCACTCACACGAAGCTAGCTCCACGCGCTTTGAGCAGCGTGTCAAAAGGTGCTACGAGGAGATATCCCTGGATTGGCAGCTGGTTGCGAAACGCTCAAGTGAGCCACTCAAGAAAATACGTTGCGAAACGCTCAAGTGAGCCACTCAAGAAAATACGCCCTGCTGCTTTGCACCTGATGAATTCTGTATTTGTAATTGTACTTGTAGATTGATTGATCCGCACTGCCGCACTATGGTGCTTTATCGAGGGATGTTGCCAAGCTGTATTGAGAATTTGTCTGCAAATCGAATGCCTGTAACTGCAAAATGCTGTACCGCGCAAAGCGACGGTTTTAACGGCTTGCAACAATGGCTATCGAAGTACCCGGCTGGCGGGCAACTGGGATGCAGATCGGTGGAGCTCCTCGAGGTACTGCGATGGATGCAGGCCCCTTGCCGCCGGAATGAATTGTCTGTTCCGGGATTCAATGAACTCACCGAGGTTCTCAAGTGCGTTGGCAAATCCGCCCGGCCCGAAGTGCGGGAAGTTGCGGAACGCCGCGATGCCTGTCTTTTGAGCTTCACGGACAATCGATGCTGTATCGTCAATAAGGGCGTGAACGCCCAGCCCTTGAAGGGCGTCTGCTTTGCCTCCCCTACCCAACCGTTCGTAAACGATTTTTATCGCAGAAAAAGTGAGTCCAGATGTCGTCCGCGCGTGCTCCAGGGCGACCTGGAACTCGCGGCGGCGATACTCGCTTGCAGCCCTGCCCACGAAGGATAGCACTATAAAATTTATAGGTGCGTAGTCCGCTGCAAACTGAACGAGATGTCGGATCACTTCCGGGTTGAGGTGGGGTCCCTGCTGCCCAACGTCAAGAATTCCGTGCCAGTCAAGAGCAACAACAAGCTCCTTGGGCGGCACCGGCCTTCCAGGCGGAGGTGGTGGCGGCGGGGGCGCAGGCGGTGCCCTCCTTGGTGGCGAGCGAAAACGCGAGCCAGCTTCGGAAGTTGCAGCGCTAGCAGCAGCTGCTTGAACGACCTGCGGAGGTGGCGGCTTGACGATGTACCCGAATTGTGGCGGGTTTGAGCTCGATTTGCTTCTGGGTTCGGCCTTGTTCAAACCTCGCGGAGGCGCCTTGTACCCGAATGCACTCTGAGTCCGAACTGGAGATCTTGCCCGTGGCGGTGACTTCCTCGGAATATCTGCTTTTGCCGGCACCGAAGAAACTGCCCTGGGGATTTCCTTGGGCAATGGAGGCTTGCTGCCAAAAATGACCTTGGGCGCGGCCTTTGGTGGCGGCGGTTGAACTGCCCCAATTCTCCGGCTGTGCAACGCGATGGGTTCAGAGTGAGTCGGCGCCTCGTACACGCGCCGAGGCACGTATGCAGCCCTGCCCGTCCTGATGGACTCCGCGTCTTGCGGTGGTTCCTCGTCCGAGCTGTAGGCGTCGAGGCGGAAGTGCTCCGCCGGCGCCGGGCGACGGTCAGGAGACCGTGAGCGCGAGCTCGTGGATGACCTTCTTGGGGGGTCCCTCCACGTCTCGTCCGCGAGCAGGTACGGGTCGGCTTGGCGAAGTTGCCCAGACGTCCGTTGTGCTCGCCGATGAGGTGCCGCCTCACGTGGCTGTGAAGCCTCCCGAACCAGTACCCAGGTGCCGTGTTCGTCAAACCTAGTCACAGGGTAGATGCCATTCTGTGGAGCCAAAACGATGGGCCGTGTGGCTAGGGAAGTCCTGGATGGCCTTCCCTCCCGCGCAAGCGCGGGTTCAACACTGTGGGCCCGTTGTTCCACAGGGGCAGCAGCAGTTGGTCCTCGTCTCGGAGTTGATGATGGAGACCTCGACCTTCGTGGCGATGGGGACCTCGATCTTTGTGTTGACCGTTCCCTGCTGCTCTCCCGCCGCGTTTCCGCAGCTTTAGCGTACACCCCGCGAAGAGTTGACTTTGCGGCTTGTCTTTCCTCTGCAGATGGCCGAATGCGAGGCAAAGGAGTGCGCGAGTCTTGCAACCAGGAGGAAGCTGATGGAGGCGTCGGAGGACGAAGCCAGTCCGCTGCACTGCTCGCTGCTCCCGCCGCGCCTGAGGCTGCGGCTTGATCCTGAGATGGCACACCTTGCGGCAAGACCACACCTGTGGTTTCAACCAATGCGAGACGCTGCTGATAAGCGTTGTCCGCGGCCTGGATCACGTCGAAGGCTTCTTGGTCAAAATTCCACAGGTGCCAACTATCCAGTGACTCACGCCAGGAAAAGAGCGCCTCGACCTGTTGCTTCGAGGCGTCCGCAAACCTGATCCACCGGAATCGTCTGTTCTGCCGCTTGTACTCGTCGACGACGATCTGTTGCAGAGTGTTGTACAATCGGGCACGCGGCCCTTTCCCACCGCGTGTGCCGCGGTGAGGGCCGACTTCCATGTGCGACCAACAGGTCGCAGTCACGGAAGGGTTTGTTTACCCGAAAAGCGTTACGGCTGATAACCACTCAAAGGAGAGGGAAACACAGTTTTGTCAACAACGGGGGAACCCGGGACCTTAAAAGGAACGAACCCCTCCGTGACTGCGACCTCTCCCTTAACCTTGGGGCTAGCGCGGTGCAACGCGCTGTTTTCAGCACTTGAGCCAAAGCAGTGATTGGATCATGCTTTGGCAATGACTTGAATGTACAACATGCAACTGACTACATGAGAACCTACCTCATGTACCTCTGGGCCATAAATGTCATCGTGATAATTGACTCAAACTCAGCCAAGTGGTAGCCAAATAAGAATTCCACCCCCCCCCAGTTTCTGAGTTTGACAGGTAATCCCCCACAAACAGTAAAAGACTGGCCCCCAATTTTGCACAACCTCAAAAACGGACAAAATAATGACCCAAATTGTCCACAACCCTAGAAACAATCAACATCATGACCCAAATGTTCCACAACCCCAAACACTGTCAAATCATGGCCCAAATGGTCCACAACCCCAAAGAAAGGCAAACGACATGACCCAAATTGTCCACACCCCCAAAAGCAGTCCACAGCCCTAGAACCAGTCAAAATCATGACCCGAATGTTCCACCCCAACAAAAGCAAAATCATGACCCCCAATTTTCCACAACCTTCAAAACAGTCGACATAATGACCATTTGCCACAACCCAGTCACTTGATTGCCGCCGAGTCTCCATAGCAACACCCATCAGCAGCTTGCTAATCGTAGCAGCTTGGAAGACGATGGAGCTGTAAACACCGCTAAGTTCCAGCGACATGCCCACATCGGTCTTGAGGAACATCACCTTGGGAGGGGACGGGGGAGGGGAGGGGACCATTTTTCAAGCATGAGTATTATTTTTTACTGGGGACCCTGTGGTGGACATCATTTACTTCCATTTGCGAATACGCCTCCTGGAAAAAAAAATGTGTGAAGATAGTGACAGATTTCCTTTAAAACCAACAGGGGAAAGTAAAACATACTCTTAAGCAAACGGAAGCATTTGACAAATTTCAAAGGAAAACAAGTAAGGGAGGTACAATCTAAGCTATCTCCAAGTGAAGGATTCATTATTGTACAACTATGGTGTTCTTGGTGAATGGAGAGATCCCCAAGTTTGGGACCTACATTCTGGTGAGCTCATTCTATCCCCAAATCGGTGAGCTCACCACAAAAGAGGCAGATGGAGCATGCAGTTCTGGATGGTAGGGTTCGGAAGCGCCCTTGGGCCTGATCTGCGATGAACCAACAGTCACTAAACCAAAATACCAACAAAAACAGCCTTGATCGAGAAGACATAGGATTGCTTGACCCCCAGGGCGGTTGTAATGACTATAGTGGGAGCAGTTATCCCCGGACAAACCAGCAGGGAACAAACATTGACAGCAATCGGCTCAACAAAGAGCACAATCCTCGGTCGACCGACAGCTCACTCTATGCTTTACGTGCCCAAATAGTCCCATGAAGCTCCGAAACACTTTGTGTCAAATAGGGAGTCTGACAAACAAAATCAAAACCAATAACATGTGGGCCTGTTGTCACAAATCAAACTTGTGTTTGGAACCCACATGAGCTCAGCCTTCAGGTGAACACACACCAGTTGCAACTGGCGAATTGAGCCTTCTACGAAGTACACCTGTCTCTTCCCCACAGCAGGAGGATGCAATGTATCAGGACACCGCCGTTGGCTCAATAAGCCCCGACACTGCAGTTGGGACGGTGCCAGCCACCACTCAACACATCTGTGGCGGCTAAAAGCTTGAACAAGCACAGCTTAAATGAATTCATTCAAGTGACACTCACACACACACATTTCCACTTTACTCGGTCAGAAGGACACCCCCATGCTTGAGAAAAAAACACGTGCCAGCAACAAGTAAGAAGCAACCGCTTTTGAGAACCTCTGCACGTAGCGCACGTCTGGATGTCTGGACGTCCGGCAAAGACACCAAGGAGTTGATCAAGGCAATCATGATGTACAGCTGGTACAGCTGCAGGAATGCCAAATGCCACACGGCCGGCCTCGGTCGCTCGGTTGCTCGGTCAGCGGAAAGGCAAAAAGTTGAAGCAAGAGATGGTTCATTGAACTGAGGCCAAGGCACACCCAAAGCTAGTGAAATGCTGCAACAAACACATGCATGTGTATAGTATACATGTACGGATAGGTATAGGAACATGTATATATAGATGTATCTATACACATCATGGGCGCATGTAATGATCCGGGAGCTGCTTACTTTGCTGGGGAGAAACTCGATGTAACTGGTGCTTCTTGCTCACCAAACATGGTGGCTGCATTCAACAAACTCCTGAGAGAACGCACCTTCTGCTTCAGGTTCCTTCTTGCACATGTTGCATTTCTTTGCCAAGCTTTCTTAGTTTCATGCCCCTACCGGTGCAACTCCGCAACGCAAAGGCAAAGCCCTTTGAACAAACCACATGAAAGTAGCCGCGACATACAATACTTGTACCTGGAGTCTCCACCCTTTAAAAATGGCTCCATGAACCCTTTATTTTGGGAAATCACTTCGCTTGGGTTGGTCCTGAGGCCTTCGGGGTGGTGATTCGTGGGTCTAGGCGGGCTTTTGGCTTTGATTTCGGGTGGTCAGCGCCGGGGTTTGGGTTTGGAGGTTGTTCGGTGGTGGTTTTCCTGAGGGAGGCGTCCGTCGTTTTGCATCAAGCTCGGTTTCAGGAAAGCTTGTGTCGAGGGGTTGCTCCAGAGATGGTCAAGCCGGGATGCCACGGAGCGACCATTTCCGGGAAGGGTGCCAGCCAGCCATCGGTACGTGGGATCATGTGTAAACCACCACATACATGCGCATATTGCTATATATATATGGTCGGTCCCCCCGCAGGGCCCACCTTTCCACCTTTTTGCACAAAAGAGATTTGTTGGCAGATGTTCAGCGTCCACTTGGTAATTTACAGTGTGTTTGGTGAGATTTTGTATCTTGTGGCAGATGTTCTTTGTGTGCGTGATGCAAAACAAGACTCGAATAGCAAAAAACACGAAATCAGAAAGCGCTTTCAGACGCAACTTTGTCGGTGTTGAAAAACACTGTTTTTTGCAGTGTGATTTAAAGCAAACTGCAACAACACACCTGTTGTTTGTTTGCGTTCTTTGATGATTGCATCCTCAAAACATGCACGGGCTCAAAGAAATGCAAAGAAATGCAAAACCCGGATGCGATGTCAGAGCTCAGGGCTTGATTGGTCTAGATTGCTGCATTTGTTGCATGTTGCTGCATTTGTTGCATGTTTGTTGAGACTGTGTAGGTTTCAGAGCTTTTAGCTCTGGATCGTCTGAATTTTTGAGCCTGTGCAGTTCTTTTTGTTGGGGGGGTTCTTAAAACATGCACAGGCTCAAACAAATGCAAAACAATTCCAAAGCCTTTACTTGTTTCTGAAGACTGGAAGACAGATTGCCGAGCAACAAAAATCGTAGAAGCCTCGCTCTGCAAACTAGCTACTCAATAAAAAAAGATATTCCTTGAATGACCTCGTTTGAGCTTCTTGCAGCAAAGTAATCTATAAAAGGAACAATGCATGGAGTATAGGTCAGTGACATCAACACGACAAAAAAATGTATATGGTAAACATATAAAGTTTTAGCTCACCCCTAGTTTTGAAAGTATCAGTGTTTACAGAGTGTACAAGTGAACAGGTGGGCCCTGGGGGGTGGGAGTCTAGGTCTGGTGAGGCCTTGAGTTCGCTACACATACCAGCACAGCCTTCGGAAATGCATTCTCCTTTCTAGCGCGCTGATGCTGGGTGCGCCGACCAATGTAGTTTCCAAACTATCGCGGCATCAACTAAAAGTAATTAACATTCCCTTTACTAAAGCACAGGTGGTGGGGTGTGTCGACCACTTGAGTCTACAGACAAGACAGAGCGACATCTTTTGAATAAGCACATAATCGTTTTCAGCATTACAACACTGATGACGCTGGGGTCGACCACCGTAGTCAACCAATAGAGTCAAAAGCAAACCGAGTCACGTTGGGCCCGAGACGTGCAATTTAGGAATACGTTTTATAAAGAGCGTTACCCCGTCAAGCGCCTTGCAAAAGTCGAGTTTGGAAACTGCAACATCTACTTTTAGCAAACGGAAAAGCAGTGCCTTTACGAAATCACTGGTGATGCCGGGAGCGCCGACCACTTTGCTCAAAGGGCCAGAGCGACATCCATTCTTAGCAAGCGAGAAAACATGTCCTATCTTAAAGCGCGGGTGATGCTGGGGGCGTTGACCAGTGTAGCCTACCGACCAGAGCATCTACAGCATGAAACCTCTTCCTTTTTACAACACTGGTGATGCTGGGGGTGTCGGGCGCTTGTTAGGATCCTTCCCACATAGGATGTTCACCAACATGTCATCAAATGTAGTAAAAAAAAAAACAAGGCAGTAACACTCATAGGATTTCATGTCGAAAAAGGGTTTTGAGAAACACGTGTCGGAATTTACAAGGAGTTTAACAAGGAAGTAGTTCAGTTGAAAATTATATATTAAACTTTATCCTAAATAGAAACTACTGTCAAAATATGTGTGTAATTCTAGGTCAACATGCCTTCATGTGTAAATTGCAGTTAGGAGCCACAACACCAAAAAACCAACGACTAAAACTCACAGGAACAGTTTTTCTTTGCCAACAGTTTTGTTTTTGGCTGTTGTTGTTTTATGTTCGTTTTGCGGCTTCCCTCAGTTGAGTTGCCTATTGCGACTCGGCAGTATTCTACCAACACAACAAAACATTTGGCTTCTTGTGAGTGTCAGAAGGAAAAACACAAAACAATCTCGGGTTGCTTTGTCGTTTTGGGTAGGACAATGCCGACAAAAACTGCGGGAAAACCGCAACAAAACTTGAGACAACCAAAGAAGCAAAACGTCTAGTGAGTGTCGCCATTCATGTTATTGATGTGTTTTTTCAGCTTTGGTAGTTTCGCAGTCAAGCGCAAACAACATGCTTACAAGGCTAACATATATGCACGCAACCCAGTGTTGTTTCAGCTTCCAACAGGCAAAACTAAGAAACCGCAGTGGTTTGTTGTTCGCAACTTCTCGGATTTGCAGTTGCATCGGATGTGTCCGAATTTGGGCCACCCAACCAGCCCTTTTTGAACCCCCCCCCCCCCGCCACGTCTCCTCCGCGTTTCTTGCGCCGGGCCACAGGCACAAGCTCCGCCGGAAGCTTAGGCCGGAGCTGCCCTGCAGCCGTTGGTGCCGGCGCGGGCCGTCCTGAACGACTTTGAAGCCTCAGCCGAAACGACGAAGCGGCGACGAGGGCTTCTGATATTTGGCCAGAAAAAGTGTACCCGAAGTGGAATCCTGGAAAATGGAACATGGACTAAAACCTGCGGTCGCCTGGTGGTTTAATTTTCACCCACACCCAGTTGGCCATGTCAAAGCCAAATCGTACCCCCAGTGAACATCCGATTCAATCCCCACAAAAATAGGAAGCCTAAAATGGGTGGCGAATTCACCGACAAACCCCAAAATGGGATCGATCCCAAAACGGATTTGACCAAACCACCGCCATTTCCGACTGGGGGACTGGCCCCAAAACCGGGCTGCCGTTTCAGGGTGGCCAAGAAGGTGATGTTAGCCACGAAGGGAAATATAGGGACTGACGAAATACCTAAGAAGATGGTTTCCGAATAGGCCCGTTCCCACTGAATGGCAGGCAGGAACGCGCTGGATCTCACACCATTGAGGAAAGCAAGGACCTTCTCTCAAAATTGAAAAGAGCTTCTAAACTGTATCCCGTGTTTTGGGAAACTGTGAGTTTCAGCTCCTTGCTCCATCCCCAACCTACCTGAAAATGATGCGCCCGATAAAAAGGGCATCTTTTCTTTCAGATAGCTTCACGAATCTTTGTTGGGCAACTGGGGATTTGTGTGTGCACCACCCATTAAAGACATTCCCCATCATGATTCATAGCCACCGCAAGGGACCCCCCAGGAAAAGCAAGTTTATATCACACCCCCGCAATCATCAGAACTCATCGGCATGGGCTGAAACCGCTCGCATGAGCTGAGGATGTTTCAAGGCAACCAATTGAAACTTGATGCATCAAAGCCTTCAAAAGCAAGGGCATCATCTCGGCAACCGCCTGTGCGCGCCTTTGCACATGTGCCTCTGGCATGTCGTTGGCTTGCAGCCAGTAAGCTACCTGTTCCACCCTGCTGGGATCCATCACAACACATTGCCGATTTTGAGTCATAATCAAAACCCGCTATTAAAACCATGCTTCAAGAATTAAGAAGGCGGCCGCAGCTATTGATGGTTGGGATCGTCCCTTACTAACCTTCATCTACCCGGGTTTTGATTGTGGCTCATTTGATCATAGAGCCATGCCCCATGCCTGTATCCTCCTGTGTGAAGCCCATGGTGAAAGGGCTTGAAGAGACACAAACCACCGACGCAGAATACTCCTGACCACACCTCAAAATGCCGAGGTTTAGTCATTCAAACATAGGTGGCCTTTTGGAAAAATAGATGGCCCTGGTGCATAAACACCATCTAAACCATTGCCATCTATTTTTAACCAAACTCACCTAAAAAGGACACCTACGCATTCAAACCTAAGCAGACCTGAAGCCAAGTCGGCTTCAAGTCGAGGAAAACCTTCGGCCAAGCTGCTAACCGGCACCGCCACCAGAAGCATCAGCACCGGACACAGCAGGGAGGCCAAGCGCCAGCCATGGTGTTGCACTAGCCTTCGGATTCAGAACTCAAAAGCAACTAAAATATGGGATGCCCTCAGATCCCCCCTAAAAGTGACTCACTTTTAGTGGGTTAAATGGAGACTACCACTAAACACTAGAACGCTAAAAGGCTAAGGGGATGGCTGGGAGCCACCAAGAAATGAGAAACCATAGAAATCCCAACATGGTAGAGGGGAATGAAGGAAACTAGAGCCGTGACAAGTCCACATAGTTAAATGATGAAGTGGAGAAGAAACAGGCAGTCAGGGCAGTCTAGCAAATCAAAACAAGCTCTATCTTCTTTCTTTCTTTCGCAACTGCAAATGAGTTTGTCTCCACATTTAGGACTCCCCAAATATGGCAAGGGTATCATGCACCATCATGCCTGTGTACAAACTAGGAGACACCTGGATCATTCCTTACCCAGCAGACGCATTGCTTTACCAAGAACAAGAAGGCGCTCCCATTGCAAGGATTCTTTGACCGCACCTCAAATGCGTCAAAGGCTGATGGAGCTAAGCCCCGTTTGGGATGGTACTCTATTTTGATTGGGATTCGAACAGAAACCCAATCGCTGTTTCTTTTGGGGTCCCAATTTAGAGGGGTCCGGAAACCGAACTGGTGCGCGTCATGGAGATGGTCCACTGCTTCTGAAATTCCCTTCCCCTTATTGAAAACTCTACCCCACTGGAAAAACTTGGTCTCCTGCTGTGTTTCTCAAACTATCTCGATCCTTTATTCCGTTCCCCTTATTGAAGACTCTAATTACCCCACTGGAAATTTGGTCTGTGATTCTCAAAAAATAGAATCCTTTTGCTGAGTGGACATCACCTGCTCCCCAAACAGAGGGGGAGGGCTACCCTTCGCACCTGGCCGCCAGCAGCTCGCTTCCATGGCCCAAATATCCTCCAAGCCGATGCGTTTTTTTCAGCCACCCCTCGGGGTATTTATATGGCCGTGGTGGTCAAAAATAGGGTAACCCCAAAATGGCTTGCCCGATCGGTAAATGGAACAAGGCCAAAACCGGCGGTCCAATTCCTGGCCTAATTTTGACCCACATATTTGGCTACCGGTGATCGAATCCCTTCCTTCCGGTTCTCTTCGGCTGGTGCAGCGAAACGGTTTCACGTCGAGGCTCGAAGCGGTGAGCGGGGAGAAGACGATGGCGGCGGTGCTGAAGGCGGAAGCCAAGAGGCCAATCGCCAGCGCCGGCGAACGCTGAAACCACGTCCTAAGGACAGCCGCACGGACACGGAAGATGTTTGAGCATCAAGCGCTGGTCTCCATTAAAGCCAAAGATGGGAGGGGATCAATAAACGCATAGGGCCCATTTTGAAACCTTCTACTTTTAGAGGTAGTAATTGGTTGCTGAGGGGGGGTTTGAATATGAATCTGCGAATATCCTCTACAGGGTGTCCATTGTGTGGCGGGGGGACCAAAACGCGAGGCGGGGGAGAACGTTCCCCTTTTTGGGGACAAACCATACATGGCTCCTCTTTGTTTGAGTCTCGCTACCCCTTTGTGGTGGAACCAAGTGGGAAAACCACTATATGTGTATATATATATATATATGTATTCTTGGGGGGGGTCCCCCAAAAAACAAGCACACACCCACAACAATATGTTTGTTGGGGATGGAGGCGTTTGACAAGCCCTCTTTGTGATTTTCTCAAACAAAAGTAAATGGAATTTGCAGGCTGCGGAGAGGGCAGATTCCAAAATGACTTCCACTACCCCAAATCACCCAGGGCAAAACAGGGTATATACCCGCTACGTATTTGGAGCCTATATAAAGTAGATGTTTTTTTGCGCCAACCCGAAACCATCTTAGATGTCCAGCAGGGCTGCCATGGACATGGGACAGTTCGGGCCCAATCCCTGACACTAAATGACGAGGCCTGTGCGACCTAAGCGGGCCTTTCCAAGCCATGCGTTCTACACAGAGCTGGACCCAAACACTTTAAACACTTGGCAGTCCTTCTTGGAATCGATGGAACTGGTGTATAAATGATTGGAACCAAACAAAAACAGGTAGAATACATCAAAATCCGGTTTCAACCAGCAACAAACAGTACTTGCTTCCCCGCCAAAGTCGTGCTCAAATCAGGGACAAGCGCTTGATTCTCCTTTTGTTCGGGAGCCCTGAGCCAGGGCTCGTCCCTTACGGCGCAGGAAGCCTGGGGCGTTTTTTTCCCGGGCTCCCTCAAAGACCCCTAGAGCGCGGCCATCCTGGCTTGGAGGTCCTAATCAACTTTTTGCCCCCCTCTAGGAAACGGTTTGGGGGTGGCAAATCTGTGGATCCACCCCTCTAGGAGATTAAACGAAAGAGTACTACAAAAGGGACCGACAGGGGGTGCTCTGGACCTCCTCTCCAGAAAGGCCTTTAAAAAAAAGCCCCGTCCACAATGCAACCCCCCCCACCCCCTCCCCCAGAAGGTGCGGTCCCCCCCCCTAATCCCTGCAGACGAGCTGTGACTCGTGACACAAAGGCGGCCGCGGCGCGTGGCCCAGACGATCACCGGGCCCATGCCGCAGAGGTCGTACGCCGCCCCGTAGACGCCATGCAGCCCCGCCTTGAGGCTCCCCGAGAAACGGCCGGAGGAATTTGTCGGGTTCTTCAAACGGAAGCGGAGAAGGAACAAGGCACATTGCGGGGAGGGGGGGGAGCAAAGATCTCGGGGGGGGGGGTGAGGCCCACTGCCGCAGGTGCCTATCCCCGAAGGGAACTGGTACCCTGTGGTAGTAGAGGTCGTTGTGTTGGTCCCTGGATATTCCGGAGAGAATCCAATATGCCACTGTGGATGATTGGAGGATGGATTGTCCCTGATGGATTGTCCCTGGTGGATTGTCTTGTGGATAATCCTGTAAGCGGCCTGCTAAGGTTCTTTTGCTTCACGCGATCATGAATGATGCAATGATATACAAAAGGGGCCTTGAGCCAAATGTTGCGGGAGATCAATTGGTCTGAGAACCAAACACAAAACAGACACAAATTTCTTTTGATCTCCAGCACTAAGTATGAAGTACTATTGGCTTCATGGCCTTTGGCCGTAGCCTTGATGTATGCCGTAGCCATGCTGTATGCCGTAGCCATGTGTATTAAAAATGCCGGATTCATCCTCTTTTCTGCTCGGATGAAATGTCTTGGCTTTCGAAATGGAAAACACTATGTACTGCTTCTTTTTGAGATACCTAGATGTATCAAAGGGTGATGTACAACGCTATGTACACGCGGGACGATTGTGAAACTATTGATCTCTCACTCATGGTATAGTCTTGTAGACGGCGAGGATCAATCATCTGAATTGAGTTCGTGGTGCTGAACGTATGAATCTTCATGGTCAGTCGGATCGACGATACCATCGGCGCTACTGTCGGATTGACTGCCATAGTCTCCATAATCATTCCAGGTCGAGTTGCTATAGTCCTTCCACTGCTTCTGATGTCCCCACTGCTTGTTGTAGTCCTTGTACTCCTGCGGGGTCCAGGCTTGTTTCTTCTTGATGTACTCCTGGTATCTCTCAGAGCTGCGTTGCTTGGTTGCAGATTTGCTGCGGATGTAAACCATGAGAGGACTATGAGAGTCGGAGTCCTGCGAGCCATTCATGAACATGTCATTGTTCACGTGCTTAAAGCGCTCTGCGGATGAGACCTGGTAATCGAATATGGCCTTGGGTGGATGGTTCCGCATGAATTCCAGTTGTTCATCATCCATGCCGTTCATCTCGTCCTTCCGGAAAGCCTGCTGGATGTTCGTTTTGCCCCATCCAAATACGAAAGTCATCATCACATCTGGGAATGTGGGATCATATCCTGATCCACACTTCATGTACAGGTGATGACGGACAATGGATTTTAGGGTGCACGAAGTCTCCATTGCATACTCGATTCTGTCCACGAGTGGCAAATCTTTCGTTTCATTCCACAGTCTCTGATATGCTCTCGTGAGGATGTTCACGAGACCGTTGGCCGGATTGAAGACGTGCTGGAGTTTGCTGTAGGTGTTCGCTGATTTGTTGGCGTCTCCGGTGATCGCATCGCATCGGTACAAAGTCACGAGCGGCATGATTTCATTTTGAAGATCTTCCCTTGCTGCTCCATGGCTAATTGAAGGATGGATGTGGAAAATTCCAATGGTAGCGAATGGGAGACCTGCCCTCGTTATGTGGCGGTAGTCATACTCGTGGAGTGACTTGTTGGATGATTTTGGGATCATGCCACGAAACTCATCACTCTGCTTGATATGGAGAACGACGATCTCCTTGTCTCGGCCATGTCCTTGGACAATGGTGCGTGTTGGCAATCTCGGTCCAATGTACTTCTTGGATTCAGTAAACATGGATGGTCCTGTGGTTGCCAAGCAATCCGAGGTCGGAATTTCGTATTCGGGATCAGTGCAACTTCCTTCAGTTCCGAAGAAACATCTGAACATTCCGAATGCGGTTCCCCAATTCTGGCTCTTGGTGGAAATGTGTCTGGCCAGAAGTTCCACTCTTGCAGAAGGTCCGCCACGGACAAAGCATGCGATCGGTCTGGATGACCGTTGCTTGATCACGATGCCCTTGTAACCGTATCGGATGAACGTCTTGATGAGCTCCTTGGATTTCTCATCATTAGGACTGAAGAATGCGTCTGCTTCATTCAGGCATAAGATGTGTGCACTGTTCTGCATCATCTTTACGATCGGTCGATCCTTCATCGGCATGTTGTACACCTCCCTGCTGTCCAGCTTTGGATTCCTTGTGAGGTTTCCATGGTTCAGGGTAAGCATGTTGATCGCTATGGATGAGGTGAACTCATGCTTCTTGAGATAGTCCACAGGAGGACGGTCGGTCGGCTGCATCAGCGATCCCAGGATATCGGCATAGGCTCGGATGATTTCCGGGTCATCATGTGACCTGAGCTTCTTCAATCCAAGCGGAAGCTTAATCGGATATCCGGATCCTGGTTGAGCTTGCTTGTACTCGTCAATGGTGGGACATTCTCCTCGATGAGGGAAGTAGAATTCTTCTTCTCCGAGATTGACATCGGGATCGACATGTGCCAATGAGGCTCCCTCGCACTCTGTCAAGTTGGGATGAGCTCTTCTTGGATCTTTGTTGAACTTGTTCACGAAGCGGCAGAGGTGTGCTTTGGTCTCCGCGAGCTCTTCCTCTGCGTCCTTTTTGTTCAAATCTGTTTCGGGATAGATTCCCTTGAGTTCTTGGATGAACTCATCTAGGTTCTCTGAATTGTGATATTCCACGATGACTTTTGGCTTGACGGATCTTTCCCCGGAGGGTTCCATCGTCTCTTCTTCAGCTTCGTCCTGATCGGTGGAATGCCGTCTCTTCTTGGTCTCTGAGGAAGTATCTTTTTCCTTGCTGTGCTTGGTGGAATTCACATAATTGAAGAAGGCATCGGCAAATTCGCGGATCTTGGTGTCGTACATCTCGTAATCTTCATAACTGAGATGCTTCTTCATGATCCACTTGTTGCTCGCCATGAGGCTGCCATCAGGTTCAAATGTGCAACAATGTTCCTTGCCTCGATGGTTTTGTCTGTCAACGCTGTTCGCTCTTCGGAGAGTCGGATGCCATAGTCTTGGTCCTTGAGGAATGCAAGGATCAACAGTGCATCTCTTCCTGCTGGCACATGGGTCAATGCGGCTTCTGACTCATCGTCGCCAAGGATGACGTCATCGATGCATGCCATGTGGACGTGCATTCTCCCCGAAGGGTTTGACTGGGATTTCCCAGATTTGAGCCCGTGCTCCATGATGCTGAAGAGCTGATTTCCATAGGTTGCATGGAACATGAATGTGATGGGCTTCTTCGCGAACGGCTTGATTTTTCTCTCTTCTTCAATGGATGGTGGTGCCGGCCTTCGCATTCTGTGCTTGGTCTGAGCTGTGCCTTCATCTTCATGAGGCGCCTCGGATCTTGACGGATGCGGACTTGGCGGAATAGATTCCGTTGGTAAATCATAGTCCGGTTCGTCGTGTTGAGGCTCTTTCTGCTGCTCAGAGTACAGGGGTCGTGCAAAGGATTGGATCTCGACTTGTCGTGTGTGTCCGCTGTTGCATCTCACGTAGAACTACATCTCTGGATCGACATAGAATTTCTTGCCATCGGGCCTGAGTGCATTTTGTGCGGATCTTGTGGTGAGCTTGTCGATCCATCGATTCCTTGGAACAATTTCTCCCCGTGCCTTGCGCTCCTTATATGGCCCGTCCATGGATGGAAATACGAATGCAATTTCGAGAGAAGTCCTGGCTTATTTCCAATGAAGTTCCTGGCATGTGTGATGCAGGTCAATGCGTCATAGAGCTCGACGGATCCATCAGGACCCATGTTCACTTGTCGTCTGCATTCCTTATGGATTCCATGCCTTGGATCATGTCGAAGACATCCGGAAAATGATCTGCTCATTCTCTCAATTCGCCAGAGGATGAGATCTGTGATCTGTTTCGCCTTGGATGGATCCATGCGGAAGTATTTGCAAACCTGTTCGACATTCTGGACGGTCTTCTCGAGATCAATGTTGCCGTTGTGGCATACCATCGGGATGATGTCGGTTCCGTAAACTTCGGATTGAGCATTGGTGTAGCAGCAGATGCTGTAGACCTTCTTGATGAAGTCCATGTATTGCTTCTCCGTATGAGGTCCTTCACCTTGGAGTGTTGGCTGCCAGTAATCGTTGAATCTGGCCTTCAACCAGAATACCTTAACTCCATGTCAGGAACGAAGTGGAAATCCGGATTGACATCGAGGATGGTTGAGCATTCCCTGTAGTACTCGTACACAAAATTCAGGAATTTTGAGTTTCCGAAAGGTCCTGGGTGTACGGATTCCTTCTGGAGGCTGATGTTTGTATCCGATCCATATGTTACAAACCACCGATCATTGGATGTGAGAACAGGCCGCATCACTGGTCGCCTTGGAAGTGCAGGTCGATCACCAGGATGATTGTCGGATTCCGTCTCTTCATCCAGGATGTTGTTTGGTGCTGGCTTGACCTTGGAGACAGGCCTCAATGCTGGTGGCGGTGACTTTGGAACAAGTTTCGGATGCGGCATCGCCTTTGACGTAGGCCTTCCTGCGGGAGGATGCCCTTCTTCATCTGAATCATCGTCGTCGGAATCTGGATCATAATCAACCTGCTCCATGTTGACATTCTCGGGTTGCTGAGAGGCGGATGGATTCTCATCGGCGACTTGCTCCATGGGGCAGTCTGATGTCTCATCTTCTGGATCGTCCGAAGATCATATTGAGAATGGGCATGTCTTTGAAGTGATCGAGCATACAAGATTGCAAAGGTCGGATTTGTTGTAAACCGAAAGTGGCTGCGGATGCAGACACATATTTCTTGAGATTCAAAATGGGTCAAGTGCAAACACGCGCATCACGGATTTGAGGAATTGAAAATATGCAAAACGGAAAAACTCATGCATCAGAATTCGTGGACATGCGGATCATGCCCAGGTTCCCCAATAAGCAAACATGGATTCTGCTATACCGACTCCTGCAAAGGCAATGATGTCGGGTCCGTGCTTCGTGTTGTGTGCTAGCCACTCAACCAAAAATGCCTTGTT